CAAATGAGAAATGCCTCTCACTCCACGTAATTGCTGCTCATCTTGCTCCACCTTGCCCTTCTTATCCTCCACCCCACCATATCTTTTCCTCCACCACAACAACACCTCACTCCCCTGCTCCCTGCTACACCACCACACACACCAGCACCAATTCACTCACCTGCTGCCACCCTCACACCACTCACCACCAGCCAACAACCACCTGACCACCACAACCAGCCAATCCACTCCCCTACTTCACCCCACAGCAGCACCAACACAAACAAACCACACCTAGTAGCAACCTAGCAGCGCCACCACACACAACAGCAGCCACCCCCTGCTCTCACCACCTCACATAACCACAACCAAGCACCACAACACCCCTCACAACTGCCGCAACAACCATACCCCAAACCAACCCGCAATTGCAACACCAACGCGTACCCCGCAACACCACTCCCCTGCTGGCACCAATTTACAGCCACCCTCACCTCGCAAAAGCCACCAATTAACTCCCCTGCTTCACCGCGCAAACCACCAGCCACAATAACAACAAAACAACCACCAACTAAGCAACAAATCACCCACCACCATCAATTACAGAAAAAATCAGAACAAATTGAAAATCAATCAAGTTTGAGCAAACCCATTGAGATGTTCGGCTGAACTTCGAGTCAGAGACTTTGGGGGTTTTGTTATTCGAAGAGGAGTGGTTGAACATACACATGGTTCGACCGAACCAACCCCGTAGTTTGGCCGCACCAACCCCGGTTCGATCGAACTATTTCACAAGCTATGCACATGGCTTTTAATGAGGATCGAACGACCTCGATTTTATTTTTTTTCCTTTTCCTTTTCTTATTTCTTATTTCTTTTCTGTTTTGTTTTCTTTTCTCTTTTATTTTCTTTTTATTTCCTTTTCTTTCTTTATTTTATTTCCTTCTTTTATTTTTCTATTTTTCCTAGTTTTATTAGCTTAGTATAAATACCCAATTTTGGGGTAATTAGAAAAACATTGAATAACTATCTATTCCTCTCTCTAATTAGTTTTAGTTTTAGGTTAGGTTAGGGTTAGTCTTCATTGGTAGAGAGAGAAAGTGAGGTTTTCTTCATTAATGAACTTGGATTTTGAAGAAGGAGCTTGTTCAATCCTTTGTAGACCTTCATCTTCAACTAATGAGCAATTTCTTACTCTTTCTCTTTACCTTTGTTCTTGATTTTGTTTATTTGCTTTTATTTCTCTTCATTGCTTATTAATCATGTTGATGCTTATTGATTTGATGATTGATATTGTTTTCAACATGATTTGTGAGTAGTCATCTAGCCAAGGGTGTGGGGATGGTGTAGTTGCTAATTGTTCATGCTTTTAATGTTGGGGTTATGTTAATGGTGATTAAAGTCTTTGCATGCTTTACATTCTTTGGTCTTTCTTGCAAGTGCACATTGTTAGTTGATCAAAGATGAGTCTTTACTAACAAGTAATGGAATTTGACTTAGTTGAGATTCATTACTATCGATTGTTATTTAATAGTACCTCCTAGTATATGGTTCTAATGTGGAAACATAGAGGCTATGTTAGGAGAAGCCAATTGACCCCGGAAGGCGGCTAGATTGGACCCTTTACTTTGGTATTCATGCATGTTTAGTTTACCATTGATATGCTACTTTATTATTGTATGGTCAAGCGTCAACTTCGCCTACCCATTTCCCTTGGTGCCTTAATGTTGTATTTCTTGTTTTAGCATTTTTAGACTTTAGTTTATTTATCCCCTATTCCGGACTAGCTTAGTTGTCGATAACATTTGGTGGTGTTTACCGTTCTCTATGGTTCGACCCCTATGCTTGCCTTATACTCGTATTAGGTTTGTTTAGGTTGTATAAATTGTATTTGATCTAGGGATAGACAATTGACGATGCGTTTATTGCCCTTGTCACGCACCTGGGTGGCGCGGGGGTGCCTGCCAGGGCCCCTATTCTGTACCCCTTTTCTCGCGGCCGCGCCTCTCCCTTGTTGCAACCGCACCTTCCGGGGTTTCTTTTGGACGATCTAACTAACTTTTCTCTTGTTAGTTTTACTATATATAGTTTTTCCTTCTATTTTTAGAGAGAGAATGAATAGAATATAATTAGAATTAGTTTTAGATCAAATTAGAGAGATTTTTAGAGAGAGAAACTCTAGATTTTAGTAAGAGAATTTCATGGTGGATTGTTGATGATTGAAGATTTCTCCATTTCCTTTGATCTTTGATCAAGTTTGTAAGGATTTCTTTTCTTTAATTCAATCTTTAGTTTGATCTTTAGTTTGATTTCAATTGTTTTGTTGTATGTTCAAGTTTGATTGAAGTTTGATTGATTTGTGATTTGATTTTAGGTTGTTTAATTTGATCATGATGAATTTGTTGTTTAGCTTTGTTTTAATCTTGATTTCTATGGATTGTGAGTAGTTTGATTGCTAGGGTAATGGTGAAGTATATATGAGTAATGGATTGATGTTAATTTTGGGAAATTGATGGAGTTGATGACGAGATTAAATTGGTTAATTGATTATGTGCATGTGTGTGTTTGATTTAGGCTTGATCACCCTAGTTGTTCACACTAGATTTTATTGTAGGTTCACATTGATACGGACCATTGATTTGTGGCTTACATTTAACGATTGAGGTGTCTTGTGACATTCCTAGATTGAGTTTATCGTAGTTGACGCTAGTTAGACCTCTAGGAAAATAGCTTGATATGCTCTTTTGGTTGCATGATTGGTTTTCCCTCGCATCACTCGACTTAGTTAACTTTTCCCAATTAACGGAATCCGTTACAAGTATATGTGGATCCCGAGCCCTAGTGTTTATTACATTTGTCCTAACCTAGCTTTTTTAGTTGTTTAGCATTCACACCCTTACCTCACCTTTCTGGAATATCTTAACTTGACAATATAAGATCGCCCTCCATTCCTTAGTGGTTCGACCCTCGACTTACCATTATACTTGTATAAGGGTGTGTTGAGAGATAATTTTTTTTTTTTTGCCTAGGGTAGGGTTAGTTTCAACGATCTAGTACCGACCCACGCCAAAATGGCACCGTTGCCGGGGAATGGTGTTGTGATTTTGTATTGTTGTTGAGTCTATTCCATCTTATTCAAAAACACAAAAGATTTTCCTTTAGGCTACATTTGTAGCCGTGTTACTAATAATTTTGTTTGAGATTGTGTGTGCAAGTGAACATGGGAGAAGCTCATAGAGTGATATTGAAGGAGTTGGGCACTCCGGGTGCTTACAAGTATGAGAGTGGGATTGTTCCATTGTTGGTTCCGGATAACGATTTTGAAATCAAACCGGATATGATTATCTTGATCGAGAGGAAACAATTCGGTGGTACATAAAGTGAAAATCCTCTCAATCATCTCAAGGATTTTGAGAAGTATTGCAATACAATTGTGGTAGCCGGAGTTGCTCAAGAGTATATAAGGCTCAAGTTGTTTCCTTTCTCTCTCATTGGAAGAGCTTTAGAGTGGTTGGATAAGGAGGTCAAACCAAGGTCCCTAAGAACATGGGATGAAGTTACCAAGGCTTTCTTATCTCGCTTTTTCCCACAAAAGAAAACGGTGGAATCTAGAGCTTTGATCCAAAGTTTCAAGCAAGGGCCTAATGAGAGTCTCTATGAAGCATGGGAGAGGTATAAGGAATATCAAAGAGAGTGTCCACATCATGGGATTCCTACCTACCAAATTATACAAAGCTTCCATGGTGGGTTGAGTTCTCAAGGAAGAGCAAGCTTAGATGCTGGAGTTGGAGGCCCAATAATGAACAAAATGGAAGAAGAAGTGGTGGATGCAATAGATGAAGTGGTGAGACATTATATGAATTGTCAAGAGGTGGAGAAAGAGCCAACTAGCAAGGGGTGCTCTATCGAACAACTTAATGCAATCAACGATTTGACCACTCTAATTTCGGATTTAGGGAAAAAGGTTATATACCTCAAGGCCAAGCTTGAGAGTCCTCCTTCGCAAGCTTCGATTCTTCCCTCCCAAAATAAGGGGAGAGGTACACCTTCTTACCCTAACACTTTTCCTTCGTCTTGTTGCATGATTAGAGAATGTTGGCCTTGTGATTTATGTAGAATGAATGATCATGATGCTTCTATGTGCCCCAATGTTCCTTGTGATGAATGTGATGGAATTGAAAATGAGCATGTGAATTATGTTGATAATCATAATTTTGAACATATATTTGAGGTTCAAAGAAATGTTGGAAATAGGAATCGTCACAATCACAACCAAGAGAACTATGATAATTATAATCAAAGTGGTGGCTGTAGAAATCATGGAGTCCAAGAGATTCGTGGTAGCTATAACAATCATGGTTATAATGGTCAAAGTCATGGCCGAGGGCATGGGAATCATAACCAAGGTTATGGTAACCATAATCAACATCATGGCCAAAATCAAGCTAGGGGTAATTGGAATAATCAAAGTAGGGGAAATTTTAACCTAATGTTCAAAGAGGTACCCCACTTGGATCCATTCCAAATACTCAAGGCCCAAGTGATAATTTCCATGATCAACCATTTTCTTCTAGGAGTTTCTTGGAAGAGGTTTTTGAGAAACAAGCCAATTTGCTAGGATCCTACATGGCCGTGAATGATGAGAAGTTTAATGACATGTTGACTCAAAATAAGGAGTTAGGAAACCGACTTTCTCAATTGGCTAGTTATTTTAAGGAATTTAAGAATTCTTCTTTTTTTACTTCATCGAGCTTAGATTCTAAGAACCCTATGGATGCAATTGTTACTAGGAGCGGTAGAGTCCTTGAGAGTGGAGTACCTAAGAAGAGTGATGCTAGAGAGAGTACTAGCAAGAGCCCGATTGAGATTGAGGGAGATGAGAGTCCCTTAATTGAGAAAATTGATAAGGAAAAAGTAGAAAGAGTGAAAGAGAAAGAGAAAGAACTTTACAAGCCCAAGATCCCTTATCCCAAAAGTATAATAGGCACAAATTAGATGAGAAATTTGGGAAATTCATAGAGATGCTTAAGCAACTTCATCTTACTCTTACTTTCACCGATGTGAAAGAACAAATGCCAAACTATGCTAAGTTCCTTACAGAAATTTTGAGTGGAAAGAGGACACGTGATATGGCAGAAATTGTTACCCTAACCGAGAATTGTAGTGCAATCCTAATGAATAAGATGCCACCTAAGTTGAAGGATCCCAGAAATTTCTCTATCCCTTGTGCTATTAATAAGATTCAAATTGATAACGCCTTATGTGACTTGGGAGCTAGTGTTAGCCTTATGCCATATTCGACCTATCAAAGACTAGAGCTAGGGGAACTTTTACCTTCGAATATTACATTGCAATTAGCCGATAGGTTGATCAATATCCCAAAGGGTAAGGTAGAAGATGTTCCCTTGAGGGTGGGGAAATTTGTCATTCCGGTAGATTTTGTAGTGTTGGATATGGATGAAGATGCTACTATCCCTATCATCTTAGGTAGACCATTCCTTGCTACATCGGGGGCTATGATTGACGTCAAGAGTTCTAAGATACCTCTTAAGATAGGAGAGGAGGTAGTTGAGTTTGATTTGAATGAAGGTATGAAATATCCCTCTTCTTCTTTTGATAATTGCATGAGTGTTGAAGTTCTTGATAATATTGTGCAATCCATGCATGAGCACTTGCTCACATATAATGATCCTCTTGAGTGTGTTTTGTTGAACAAAGAGAAGATAGCTAGGTGCTCCTAGCAAGGAAGTGAAATTGTATGAAGATTTGCTTGATGGAAGCATTGAAGGAAGTGATGAACAAATTTGCATGGGGATTTCAAGTCAAGATGCTTTGCAAGTGGCCTCGACCAAAGAAGGTAAAGGTGTGCCTATGGTAGAGCTCAAACCTCTACCATCACACCTTAGGTATGAATTATTAGGCCCAAATTCTACTTATCCCGTAATTGTTAGTGCATCCTTGAGTAAGAGCCAAGCTCAAGCACTATGTGACGTTTTGAGAAAGCACCAAGGTGCTTTGGGCTATACCTTTGATGATCTCAAGGGTATAAGCCCCGCTTTGTGTACGCATCATATAACGCTTGAGGAAGGCACCCTTCCCTCTATTGAACGACAACGTAAGCTACATCCCCAAATAGGGGAGGTAGTTAAGAAGGAGATCACCAAGCTTTTGGATGCGGGGATCATATTCCCCATCTCGAGCTCTAGGTGGGTCTCTCCCGTTCATGTAGTTCCAAAGAAGGAGGGTATGACCGTAATAAAAAATGAGAAAGGTGAGCTCATTCCGACTAGGACGGTCACTGGTTGGCGTATGTGTATAGACTATAGACGTCTAAACACATCCACCAAGAAGGATCACTTTCCCCTTCCTTTCATTAATCAAATTTTTGAGAGACTAACAAGGCACAAGTTTTATTGCTTCCTTGATGGTTACTCGGGATTTTTCTAAATCCCAATTCACCCCGATGATCAAGAGAAGACAATGTTCACATGCTCTTATGGGACCTTTGCCTATAGGAGAATGCCGTTTGGTCTTTGCAATGCTCCCGCTACTTTCTAAATATGCATGATGAGCATTTTTGAAGATATGTTGGAGGAAGAAATGGAGGTTTTTATGGACGATTTTTCCGTAGGAGGGGTTTCGTTTGAGGATTGCCTTGAGAATCTTGGAAAACGCTTAGCAAGGTGTGAGAAAGTGAACTTAGTGTTGAATTGGGAAAAATTCCACTTCATGGTGGAGGAAGGAATAGTGCTTGGACACAAAATCTCTCAAAAAGGAATAGGAGTGGATAAGGCCAAGATCGAGGTTATTGAGAAGCTTCCACACCCCGGTGAATGTAAAGGGAGTGAGATCATTTTTGGGGCATGCGGGCTTCTATAGAAGATTCATGAAGGATTTCTCACTCATTGCCAAGCCCCTCAATGACCTTCTCTAAAAAGATGTTGATTTTGTGTTTGATGACAATTGTTTGGAGGCATTCAACAAATTGAGAAAAGCTTTAACTTCCACTCCCATTGTCCAAGCCCCTAGGTGGGATTTGCCTTTCGAGCTTATGTGTGATGCTAGTGATATGACTATTGGGGGTGTGTTAGGTCAAATGGTTGATAAGAAGCTCTATGTCATCTATTACATGTCGAAGACCCTCAATGGTGCTCAAAGGAATTACATAACAACGGAAAAGGAGTTCTTAGCAATTGTTCATTCCTTTGAAAGTTTTCATTGTTACTTGTTGGGGTCCAAGACTATTGTGTTCACCGATCATGCGGATTTAAAATACCTCTTTCGGAAAAAGGAATCTAAGCCAAGGTTAATTAGTTAGGTTCTTGAACTCCAATCTTATGATGTTGGGATTCGAGACTAGAAATGAGCGGAAAATGTGGTCGCGGACCATTTATCTAGACTTGAGGATTTTCAAGTCCAAGATGATGGGTCCCCTATTGAAGATAGATCGAATGTTGGACGACTTCTTGTATTCTATAAATGTGAAGGAACTCCCATGGTTTGCCGATTTGGTTAATTACCTTGCTTGCGGGGAGTTTCCTCCTTCTTTTTCCAAGAATCGTAGAAAGAAGCTTAAGAGAGAAGCTAGACACTATGTTTGGGATGAGCCGATTTGGTATAAGAGAGGTGTTGATGATTTGTTACGTCGATGTGTGCCAAATGAGGAAATACCAAATGTGTTGAAGATGTGCCACTCGGATTCTAGTGGTAGACATATGGGTGTTTCTAGAACGGCATCTAAGGTGCTTCAATGCGGATTATGGTGGACAAATCTCTTTAAGAACACTTGGGAATTTGTTAAAATTTGTGACCGATGCCAAAGGACTGGGAACATTTCAAGGAGAAATGAGATGCCCCAATAACCCATGCTCGAGTTAGAAATTTTCGATGTTTGGGGAATAGATTTCATGGGTCCTTTTCCTTGTTCATATGGGAATCAATAAATTCTTGTTGCCATTCTTGTTGCCGTTGATTATGTGTCAAAATGGGTTGAAGCCATTGCTTCTCCAAAAAATGACCATAAGGTGGTAATGAAGTTGTTTAAAAAGATAATCTTCCCAAGGTTTGGCATTCCCAAGGCGGTTATAAGTGACAATGGGTCTCATTTTGTGCATAGTACTTTCCGGAAGATGTTGAAGAAACATGGGGTAAACCAACATTTTGGGCTCCCTTACCATCCTCAAACTAGCGGGCGAGTTGAGGTGTCCAATCGTCAAATCAAGTTAATACTTGAGAAGACGGTTGCAAGAAATAGGAAGGATTGGTCAAATAAGCTTGATGATGCCTTGTGGGCATATAGAACGGCCTTTAAAACTCCTATTGGTACCACTCCTTACCGCTTAGTTTATGGTAAATCTTGCCATCTCCCGGTTGAGCTTGAGCATCGTACTATTGGGCTATAAAGAAGATTAATTTTGATTTGGCAAGTGCGAGTGAGCAACGTTAGTTAGATCTCCATGAATTGGAAGAGCTTCGTTTGGATGCATATGATTGTGCTAGTTTATATAAAGCTAGAGCCAAAGAGGTGCATTATAAGCTCATTGAGAAGAAGGAGTTCAATCCCGGAGATAAGGTGCTCCTTTACAATTCGAGAATGAGACTTTTCCCCGGAAAGTTGATGTCCCGTTGGACCGGTCCATTTGTTGCTCAAGAGGTCTTCCCGAATGGTGCTATTGAAATTTCTCCTTTGGACCTCTCAAGGAATTTCAAGGTTCAAGCGTTACTATGAGGAAGTTTTTGTTAGGGTCATTCATGATATGACTCTCTATGATCCACCTTGAAGGGTGGAGAACGTCAAGCTAATGACATTAAACAAGCGCTTACTGGGAGGCAAACCGAGTTTCTAACCCTTTTCTCATTTTTCTTTGATTTCTTTTCTTTTTCCTTTGATGCCTTTATTCTCTTTTAATCTTGTTTTCTTTTGTGTTGTAGGTGGTTTTGATTTGATATCCAACAATTTTGGTGCCAGTTTTGAGGTAGAAATGTCCAAATTCATGAGTTGGAAAAATGTGTAAGTATGGAGATTGGTGGATTTTTATGGTGGGTTCATGAAATTCTAGTTTTGAATCCACTAAAATGGGGTTTTGCTACTTCCTATGTTAGTGTTTATCATCATCATAAATTGTGTGCCCACTGTTGTGCGCACTTAAAAATAGAAAAAAGAGAGGAGAAGTTCATACCCAGGGAGGTGCGGGCAAGCACAAGGTAGGTGCGATCGCGCACCCCTTAGGTGCGGGAGCGCCGCCCTATGGCGCGGGTGTGCCCCTGCTCGTTTTCCCCCTCTTAAACCCCACCGGTTCTCTTTCCTTCTCTCTCTCTTACCTTACTTTTTCACTCATGTTTTCTTTGGTTTTTACTCATGCATCATCTTCACCTCCATCATCATTTAGTCAGTGAAATTTCATCAAAATTCATAATCATCTAGTTTATTATTGCTCTTAGTCTCAATTTTTGCACTTCCATGATGTTTTTCTCTCTCCTAAATTGAGATTTTCTTAGTACTCTTTGATTGAAGTTTTGAGGTTTGCAATTTGGGATTGTTAGTGTGTAATAGTGCTCCTTGTTCCATTTCTTTGTGATTTCTCATCAATTTAAGGTATGATTTCTTTATTCTTATGATAGATTTTCTACCTTTATTGTTCATGGAGATTTGATTTGGTTTGGTACTACCCTTATTAGCATACCCATGTTGCTTACTACTTGCTTCATTTGTTTATGTTGATGATGAATTGTTGATAAATATATGACTTTGTGGTGTTGATTTTGTTTGAGTTTATTGAAAATTTTGGCACTACCATTATTGCATTTGTTATTTGGTGTTGTTGATTTGGTGATGATGATGTCCATAAGGGTTTGGATGGTTAAATGAAATATTGTTGCTCACTATGCATGATTATGGCTTATAATTGTGGTTTCTAAGTGCATCTTTCACTTGATTGTGAATACTTTCTTATTCCCTTGATTATTTTGGTCCTTATGGGATTTGCCATTATCATGAATTTTCTTTGCTCATCATTTTCCCTTGTTATTGAACCTTTATCTTGATTGTGGTGTGTTGATGGCGCCCCTTCGTCGTGCAAAAAAGGCGAGATGCTCTAATCTTAGGGAGGTGGTTTCTCCTCCATCCTTCATCAAGGAGACATATGGTATTGAGTTAACCAAGAGAGAACATTGGGACAACTTCTACAACTTGTCACCTCGAAAGATCTTTTCCACAAGATTCTATGATAGGGCTGCAACAACTTTGCTTGGAATTGATGAAGACGTTAGGATGTTGGCTCGGAACTTAGGGCTTGAGGCTTTCATTGATCTTAATGCACCAACATTTGCCCGCATTACATTCGAGTTCCTCGCTTCTCTTGAGGTTCATGAGGATGAGCATGGTGATTCGCCTCCAACTCTAACCTTCCAAGTCTTTAACAATAATCACTCAATTCCACTTTCTTATCTCAATGAGGTATTCCAATTCCCGAAGCCATTTGATGGGACATCGTATATCTATCCGGCTTTCGAAACTTTACAAAAGGATCATAAGTATTGTGAGGATAAATGGTGGAATCACATAGCTGATGAAGAGGCCTATTGGCCGCAATACTCCAAGTCGGCCTCGATTATTCACTCGGCTATGAGGTATTTTAGCCGTACCCCCACCTATGCTTTCTTCTCTAAGAAATCCCTCGGTGCCATATATTCCGAGAAGAGTTAAGTTGGCTTTGGCTAGCGGATAAGACATGGGAAGAAG